AACAACAATAACATGTACAGGAGGCAAAGGTGCATATTAATAACTCCCCTTTCCTAGATAAATGGAGCAAATTATGTGCTCTGTTCTGCACTTTGAGAAGCTCTTGGATATTAGTCTATTTTCTTTCATTCAAGTTGTAAGAGGATCATAGGCTCTGGTCCTAGTGGACTTACACACACATGGTGCTTTAAGAAGACCTGGGCCCTCTGTTCTCCATGATGTGGCATCCTGTCACCCTCGTCTCTCAACCAGGTGTTTGTATTGGCAGGTACCATCCGTCACAGCAGTGAGGATGTCCTCCAAGCATATCAGTCAGGAGACCTTTGATGCCGCTGTGCGTGAGAACATTGAGGAGTTCGAGATGGGCCCAGAGGAGGCTGTGAGGGAAGCCATGGAGCAGTTTGAGTCACAAGGTGGGTGCTGGCACAACTCCTGTGCTGCAGGAACAGCTGGGAGTTGGGAACACACCTGGGCTGGGGTTGCCCATCACACCCAGAGAGGTTACTGGTGGCACGTGGGGCTCCTCCTGACCTCCCCAGCCCTTGTATCCACTCGCACCTTGTTTTCCTATCACTCACTCCATGTTAGACTTGCTGCTTCCTGCCCCTTACCAGATATTTGGAACATGTCACTGAGCAACGGTGTCTCTCTGGAGACTAAGGTGCGCCTGATACAGGCCATGGTCTTTGCAATCACTTGTTATGTATCAGAGAGTTGGACAGTGACTAGGGAGGACAGAAGGAGAATTGTTGCCTTTTTTTTTTTTTTAATTTTTTTTTTTATTTTTGTGTGAGTGTACCGTCAAATCAGATCTGACTGGTACAGGAGGAGATTGTCCCTCCTTCCCCGGCAGAGCATCTGGTGGATTTGAACCATGCGCCTCTGGAATTGTAGTTGCAGTTCCTTGCCACTAGGCCACCAGAGCTCCCTGAATTGTTGCCTTTGAGCTGTGGTGCTGGAGAAGAGTATTGAATATACCCTGGACTGCCAAGAAAACAAACAGATTCATCCTGGAGAGGATTAAACCAAGCAACTCCTTGGAGGCAAGGATTCTGGGGCTTTGTCTGACATACTTTGGGCATGTTGCAAGGAGGGACAGGTCCTTGGAGAGGGACATCATGCTTGGGAGGGTGGAAGGACGGCACAAGAGGGGAAGACCCTCTATGAGGTGGATTGATTCAGTGACTGGGGTAATCGGGATGGGAGTGTCAGAGACAGTGCAATTGGCACAGGACAGAGTGGAGTTTAGGGCTGTTGTACATAGGGTCGCTATGAGTCGCAAACAACTGACAGCACATAACAAAAACAACAACACTGACAACTATCCCTTCTTGCATGAGGCTTTCTCTGCCACCTCCAGGATGGCTCTAAGCTCTAGCTCACTGAGGCCAAAGGGTATGTTGAATTCTGGTCTTCAGAAGACAGGGAGTGTTCAGATAGTGTCAGAGGGGAAGTTTGGCAGGGGGAGCAGTTTACAGTGCATGTGATCAGGGTTGAGATTCCCAGAACAGGGACCCAAGGCCAAGGTAGAGAGCTAATGCCCACCTGAGACAGGTACACGCCACCAGGTCTATATAGGACAGTGAAGGCAGGCCCTGTGGCTAGAAGCTAGTAATGACTTCTTGGTCTTGAGCCATCTGACTTTACATCTGGGTCCCCAGTGGCCAAATTCAGACAGAAGCCAAGAGACTGGAGCTGGGGGTGCAACCCCTGATGTCAGACATTGGCCTCTGCAGCATGGAGTGGCAGAAGTGCTGTCGGGTGACTGGTAGGCATTGGGCACAGAAGGGCTTCCAGTGGGGGCCCTAGGGAAGAGGCGGCAAGGATGTAGCCAGGGTGAGGAAACCCTAGGAAGACCTCGGGTTTCCCCTTCTTCCCAGGTAGAATGTGATCACTCCGCAGAAGGGCCAGCCGTGGCCAGCCAGTCTTACTTAGAGATGGCTTCACTGTCGTCACCCAGCCAGGATCACGGGGTGTTACTCAGGTGGTGATACCTCCATGTGTTCTGTCTTCTTTTATTCTTAGGTGTTGATCTAAGTAACATCGTGAAAACAGTGCCCAAAGTCTCTGCAAATGGACCCCAGGAACCAGAACATGACGTCCTTCAGGTAAGGGTGTACCTAGATGAGGCCTCTTAGCTTGACTCGCGACCAGCCAGCTTCTGAAGATCCCTGAGCCACCTGGGGCACCACAGGGCTTATGCACAGAGAGGTGGGCAGGGTGTGCAGAGCAAGAGCTGTTGTTTATGGAGTCCGGGCTGTCTACTGCTGGCACTGAAGTTCACCTGGGGTGGTTGAGTTAAGTTTAAGGCCATTAAAGTTTCTATGCTGAAGATAGAGCCCACCAGAGCTGTGTCCCACCTTAAGGTTATCCATCAAGCTCAGTATTGTTAGGAAAAAGAGTTGAAAGAGAGAGAGAGAAAGGAAGGAAGGAGGGAGGGAGGGAGGAAGGAAGGAAGGAAAAGAAGGAGAGAGGGGGGGTAAGAGGGAGGGAGGAAGGAAGAAAAGCTGGTCCCAAGACACAAACAGGCCTTTATTGTGTGGTCTGAGAGGGACGCCAAGTGACCGCCTGCTGTCATGGAGAAGGTCAAAATGGTGTGGGGGTGGAAAAGGACAGTTCCTTCTTATAGAGGTTTTTAGGGAGAACTAGGGAAGATGGTATTTTGCTCGGAATTTGGGTGAGAGTCCTGTTAACTAACTTTGGAGTGAGCAGTTGTAATCAGGCCCAGAGCCTGATCAGGGTCCAGTCTGGTCCCCTTAGACATTATCAGGTTTCTTCAGGGAGTGATCAGGCCTGGGCCCAACCGTGATGTTCTTCCTCCAGGTACACAGCAGATGGATCTAGGGCTGGGGAGAGTGGCCTGTGGGCCCCTTTCAGGGCATGGTGCCTTTATGTTTTTACAGTCAGGCCTGGATTATTATACTCTTTTTATAGATGGAAACATTAAAAGCCAAATAAAAGAGCATGGCTTAACTTGTGTGGTGGCAATGGAAGGTGGGAGCCCAGCTCTCCCTTTTATTACTCAGTATCCTCTACCTCCTGCAGAGGCACAGGATGAACACAAAGCTGGTTCCTATGAGGGAGCTGGCGTGCCAGTCAGCTGTTGCCATGCAGAGGCCTCCTGAAAAGGATCTCATTTTCTTTGCTAGTGGGGGTGGGAGGGAACAAACAACAACCTAAGAATTAACTGTATTGGCTATGCATGTAGTTCTTCCGTGACACACTCAAATTTGTGTTCTTGCAGATTTTTTTCCCCTAGGCCTTTGAGGGATTTATTACCTGATTATGAACAGAGAATATTAGTGTATTCAGGAAATAGTATTCATTACCTGGGCTGAGCCCATTTAATCTCTATTTACTAGGAGCAACTAAAGAAGAAGGAAAATCTAGAATTGAAAAAGGATATGTAATATGTTGTTATTGTTAGGTGCCATTGAGTCGAGTATGACTCATAGTGACCCTATGAACAAGAGATCTGAACCCTGCTCTATCCTGCGCTGTCCTCACACTTCCTGACACAGAAGAGCCCATTGCCACAGTGACCACATCAGTCCACCTGGTTGGGGCTCTTCCTCTCCTTCGCTGACCCTCCACCCTTCCCAGCATCATGTCCTCCAATAACCCATCCTTGCAACATACCCAAAGTATGTGATATATGTCTATTGTATTCATGTACTACTATCTTCTTCTCCATTAGACCAGAAGAAATGAAAGGTGTGAGGCATTTTGATCAAGGGTTATAGTTGGATTCTTGCAGATTTTTTTTATAGATATGTTCATTAGTTTTTCCTAATAATTTTAAAAAGCACTTTGTATGGCGAGGATCTTAAAAACAATAGTAGTTGGGATCACTGAGGGCCTCTCAAGTGCTGGATATGATGCTAAGTCTAAAATTCTGTTCCCTTAATCTAAGAGGAGGGAGCTCTGGTGGCCGAGTGGCAAAAAGCTGAGCAGCAATCCCGAAGGCACACGGTTCGAGGTCACCAGCTGCTCCGTGGGAGAAGGATGGGTAATCTCCCGTGCAATTAACTGCCTCTGAAAACCCCCCAGAGGGTCAGCTATGGGTCAGCTCCAGAGGGTCAGCTGTGACTCTGTGGTACACGACAACATCAGCAATCTAAGAGAGGTCCATTGTGCTCATATAGAAGCCAAGGCTTCCTTAAGATGAGTGGTCTGCCCAAGATCACAGGTCAGGGGCAGAGCTGGAACCTAGACCTACATATCTCTCCCAAGAGCCAAGCTCTAAACACTCTGATGCCTCCTACTAGCAGTGCAGGTGCTGTGTAAGGGATTTCTCTTATATATGGCTTTCCTGGCCTTGGGCTTATAATTCTGCCAACATGATTGGCTAGGCCGTCATCTTAGAAGAGGTTGCTCAGTACACTATGCAAACAGGGTGCTTTAAACCACCTGATAAGATTAAGTGACCTTGTAGGAACTGATTGACAGTGATGCAGACTGAGTGATCTTCTGCAGAGGGAATTGGTCAGTTTGTGGTCTGCCTGGGAGGGCCACGCCTTGAAATTGAATGTGTGGACCAATCCTCTAGTGTGGTGGGAGGACCTCACTACCCTCGAGGAGAGCCCTAGAATAGTGTGTGCCCTTTGGCTCTGGTGTCTGCACTGAGAACCTTGTAGACCCAAGAGAGAGAGCTGTTACACAGGCAATGGCATGGGACAGAGGCATACAGTAGCAGCCACAGAGGAGCCCAACAGCAGAGAAACAGCAGTATAAGTAGCATGAGCGATAAGACCAGCAGATGGATGCAGCAGGCTGGGCAACCACAGTGAGAGGGAGCCAAGTGCCTGTGGGCAGACTTGTTGGCAGCAGGAGTTGCCTCCAGGCCCTTGTCAGTGGATCTGTAGTGCTGGCACACTTGCCCACACAGAATAGAGGCTGGTACACCGAGGGAAGGGTCTGCCCACAGTCACAGCCAAGAAGGAGCCCAGAGCCTTCCTGGTTGAAAGCTGGCCTGCTTAAAAAAACTATATCCTGTCTCCTGAGCCTGTAGCCTCTTAGTTCCAAGCTGATTTTGATGCCAGCTTTGAGCCTGTTGCTTCTGTGTATCCATTAGAATGAATTCTCAAACTGAGCAGAGAGGGAGAGAGTGCAGTGGGAGAGTCACCTGGTGTCAGAACTGGTGAAGAACAGTCAAAGTGGAAATACGAGCTGTGGTGTTGGAGAAGAGCACTGAACATCCCATGGATGGCCAGAACAAATAGATATGTCTTGGAGAGGGTGCAGAGTGCTCTTTGGAGGCAAGAATGACGAGGCTTCGCCTCACATCCTTTGCACGTGTTGCTAGGAGGGGCTATTCCTTGGAGAAGGACATGATGCTGGGAAGGGTGGAGGGTCAGCGAAGGAGAGGAAGATCCTTAACCAGGTAAGCTGACACAGTGATGGCCGCAGAGGGCTCTTGAGTGTCAGGAAGTGTGAGGATGGAACAGGGCTCAGATCTTTTGGTTTTAGGGTCACTGAGTCGCACTCGAGTCAGTGGCACCTGGCAACAACAACTACCTCACAGGCAGCTGTGGTGGCGTAGGCTGTAGGGAGTTGTGCTGCTCACCCAAAGGCAATGTCTCTCTCCCAGTTCAAGTCCACCAGCAGCTCCATGGGCGAAAGATGAGCTGTCTCCTGTGCAGTTTACAGCCTCCAGAAACAGCAGTGTCAGCTGTGACTCAGTTCTGACTTGACAGCAGTGACTTTTGCATTTTCTATCTCATTGGAAGCAGGAGTGGCATCCACTTCCTAAACAACATGCCTCTGGAAACTGTGAACTTTGATAAATGATGATAGTTCTAGAAAGGCTTCAGGCCTTTTGTTCAAAAGGTCGTTATGAGTCATGCTCAACTCGACAGCAATCAACAGCAACACCTCATAGGAACCAGCTCTGCGTTGATGCTGACCCTTTTCTTTCTTAACATAGATGGGCTCAGATATTACTAAGGTACATCAGGAAATTTCATGTTTGGGTTCAACTTTTACTTTTCTTCCTTAATTTCACATTTTAAATTAAATTTGTCATTATAGAAGAATGTGAATACATTCTTGACATAAAAGAACCGTACTCGGGCATTTACAGCAAAGCCCGGCTGTCTCATCCCATTCCGTGTATCACCTGCATTTTCTCTTCCTTGGATGTGATTTGTGGGCACTCTCCCAACCCTCGGTGCCTCCTGACATAGCTGACTCCCCTCAGGGAAACACTCCCCCGCCCCTCACGCGCCTTTCACTCGTAGGAGGGAGGCTCTGGTGTGTGAAAAAGGCTCAGTCTTGAGGAAAAAAGATTTAGGTGAGTGGAGCCTCTTGAAAAGAATCTGCTGGATAAACTGCCACAAACAGGTTTCTAGAAATAAATCTTGAAACTCTGAGTAAAAAGTGGGTCAGACCAATTAATCTACGTGGGGATTTATAAGCTAAAAGCAGTCAGCCCCAGAAGCACAACTAGCAGATGTTGCCCTGGCAGCTGTCATCACATTGACCCCAATTTCATGGTGACCCCATATCAGAGAAGAATGAGAATATGAGGGTTTTTATTATATACCATTGAGTTAACTGTGACTCAGAGAGTGACCCTATGAACAATGGCTCTGAACCTTGCCCTATCCTGAGCCAGCTTCACCATCTCTGACATACTTAACCCCATTTGAAAGCTATGCCGCTGTTGTTGTTGTTAGATGCCATCAAGTCATGTACGACCCATAGTAACCCTATGAACAACAGATCTGAACCCTGTCCTCCCTGTGCCATCCTCACACTTCCTGACACACTAGCGCCCATTGCAGCAGTCACTGTGTCAATCCATCTGGCTGAGGGTCTTCCTCTCTTTTACCAACCTTCCACCTTTCTAAGCGTGGTGTTCTCCATGGAATAGTCTCTCTTAACAACATGCCCCCAAAAATGTGAGATGAAGCTTTATCAGCTTTGCCTCAAAGGAGCATTCTGGCTGCACTTTCTCCAAGACCTATCTGTTATTTTGGCAGCCCATGGGATATTTATTACACTTCTCCAACACCACAGCTCAAAGGTGTCAGTTCTTCTGTCATTCTTATTCATTGTCCAGCCCTGAGAAAGTGATTGAGAAGATCATGGCCTGCATCAAGTGCAC